TGCGTCGTGGGGATTTTTGCAGTCAGATGTGCGACTGCGGGGCTCGAACCCGCGACCTCTCGGGTCGCAGGCAAGTGCAGTACCCAATGTATTACTTTAGTTGTTATGCAAGACTTCCCTGACGATTACAGATGAAGCGTTTCTGGAGGCAAATGTCCAGAAAGGATGCGAGAACACTGGTTCTGCAGTTACCTGTCTGGCCGGACACAGCAGATCAAATTGCAGGATCAGTTGTCGGGGACTGTTCCTTGCTCTCGCGGTGTTCCGCAGGGCAGTGTCGTAGGCCCACGTCTGTTTGTAACTTACACTGCTGACGTGAAGTCAACGATGCCTCCGGATGTGGCAGATCAGGAATTCGCTGATGACATCGGTCTCGACTGCTCCAACCCGTGTCCCAAGCAAGTCTGCGAGTCTCTGTCGTCTGCAGTGACCAACCTCGCCAAGTGGCTAGATGACATCGGCCTACTTCTGAATGCCCAGAAAACCCAAGTTCTGTTTGTAAAGCCAAGAGGCGGTGCTGATGTTCACGAATATGTAAGTTGTCCAGGACAACCCCTGGAAGGAACAACATCTGCGAAATACCTAAGTGTTGTAATCGACAATGACCTCTCCTGGCAGCCACATATCATCCATGGTACACGCAAGATTGGGCCAGTAATTGGACAGCTATGGCGACACGGCAGGTCCCTGAGCCTACGAGCCCGCCAAGTCTGGTATGTCAGCATGATACAGGCTCATCTGTCCTATGGATCAAACTGTTTCTTCTCCAGTCTTTAAAAGCATCTCCTGGATAAACTCCACTGTCTGTCAAAATCCGGTGTCAGAGCGACCCTGCAGCAAAGGACTCTGGTCCCGACTGCCCCCCTTCTCGAGCTACTGGGTGTGCCAAGCTTGCCACAGCTTCTCTTCCAGAAGCTTGCCATCTTCGTTTTCAAATGTTTAAATGACAAGACAAGTCCCCTGTTAAAGAATCTGTTCATGCCGATCAACGACCCTGCCACACTTCAGCTGAGGACGACACGGGGTCAAGTGTCAAGCCTGCTGAGAGTTCCGTTCCTCCCTGGTCCCGCTGGACGTCATTCAATTCAGTTTGTTGGCAGCATTCTGTGGAATGCTCTCCCAGTTGCAGTCCGTACGGAAGGCGATTGGCGGACATTTAAAGCTCTAGCCACGGCTCTCGACTTGCTCAGCCTTTACCCATGTTAACATTTTTTGTACCTAACTTCATGTCGAAATCCATTTTAACAATCCGCATATCTCTACCCCCTCTCGCTGTGTCTCTGTCTCTGACACACGCACACACACACACACACACACACACACACACACACACACACACACACACACACACACACACACACACACACACACACACACACACACACACACTCTCTCTCTGTATTGTTGTTGTTGCTGCTCTGTTGTTGCCGTTGCTGTTGTTGTTGGTCTGTTGTTGTTGTCGCTGTCGTTGTTGCTATTGCCGTTGCTGTTGGTCATTTTGTAAGTGCTTGGACAATACACTTGTCCAGGCAATAAAGCAGTCTCTCTCTCTCTCACTATCTCTCTCTATCTATCTCTCCTCTCTCATCATGCATGCGTCACACTCTCATTGAATCTTCTCTTATATGATTGCATGCTTTACACTCTCATGTAGTATTTCTTTCCTTTCTTCGTCTTTTTGTGAGAGCTTGGACAATCCACTTGTCCAGGCAAGAAGGCAGCGATGCCTGTTCATTCTGGCGAAGTAAAATAAAATATACCAACCAACCAACAAAAAATACAGCGTTCCGGAAGGCAATGGTGCACATAAATAGAGCATAAGGCAATGGTGCAGAAAAGAGGTGAGAACTTACAAACAAGGCTCAATTCAACAAAAGTAATAGAGAAAGACATCTGTGATGATATGTCATCACTTGTGATCATTATGAACAAAGACAATATTGTCTTGAAGGTGAATCCTGCATACATGTATTATAAATAACTGGCGACAGACAAAATAGGTACAGTTGTGGAAATCTTCAAAATGTCTTTGTAGAAGAACCTGAATTTTTCATCCTTCTAAGTGTTATTGTGTTTGGGTTTCTGTTTAAAAGGTGAGGTGATAGATAAAAAAAAAGTCAGATGGGGAGTCGATTAAGTACTGAAGCTTTCTGTATTCAACAGTTTTTATCATGAAGTGCATGAAAGATTGTGGAAATTTAAGAGATCGAATACATGTATTTAAACTAATTTTAAATGCTACAGATCAAAGAAGACATTCTAGAAAGGATATAGGGATCTAAAACAAGTATTCGTGACAGCGATGAGGAGGCCTAGAAGTGAATGTGCGTGTGTGTAAGTGTGTGTGTGTGTGTGTATGTGTGCGTGTGGGTGTGTGTGCGTGTGCATGCGTGGGTGTGTGTGCGTGGTATATGAGCAGAGAGCGAGAGAAAAGAGTAAGATTTAAAAACAAAAATAGGAGGAAAATCAGGACAAAGGATGTGGATCGCAGCCGAAAGAGGAGCCGGGCATCCACGACTGACAGAATCAGGGCAACGTCCAGGTTCACCTCGATTACGGTCAATTGATATTCGACAAAACCTGCGATACGGTGAATCTCCGTGCTGCAATCGGGTGTAGCATGTACGGCACCGTTTTTTGAAGTTTAAGCGGCAGGGCAGCGATGTTTACTGGCAGAGCGTTTGGCATTCCCGTGGCGACAGCCTTGCAATAAGCATGATACTCAGGACACGACGGCACGGCTTTCTTCCAGGGCTTAGGACCACACATGCGCAGTGCCGTGATTCCCAACTCCCAGACATCTATGGAAGGCTGCGAAAGGTACGTGCCTGCCGGTGTCTCGTTCTCTTCGAAGACCTCAGGCGGTGCGTAGGACGTCGTGTACCCGGCGCCATGCGATTTGTGGAAACGAACTCCAAGAGGGCGAGCCGAACCGAAATCCATGAGCTTGTAGACGGCCTCATCGCCATCCGCCAGGCGAACTATGTTCTCGCGTTTCACGTCGCAGTGAGTGAAACCTCGGCTGTGAACGTGTTGCAGGGCCTGGGCGATGTTTCGCACCACTGCAACAGCCTGCTCGTACTGCACTTCCCTGGACATGCGGCCAAGACTGCCCATCCGGGACAGTTCCGTGGCCATAGCAAAATGAGACTTGTTTTCCGTTTCGAGTCTGACAGGGTAGCATTGCGCGATGTTCGGATGCTTCATAGACGAACACTGAACGTGCGTAAGAAACTCATTTCGGAACTGATTCTCCATCGACGGTTTCCTATTGCTCAGGACTTTCAGAGCCAAATCGGTACCTTTGGGAATGGAGCCGATGTCGCAGCGCGTTCTGGCTTCGTACACAATCACCTTGTCGTCCTCCTTGCGATGTAGCACACTAAGATATTGCAGAACATCCTCGAAATGCGGAATTCGCACAAGCGTCACCTCTTCCGCGCACTTCGCTTGGGAGATGCAAGGCTCTGAAATTATGTGTCGCACGCTGTTCTGCGGCGCAGGAATCTGCTCGGCGAATCCCACCTCCACACTCTGTGGATGGGATCGTCGGCGAGAGTCCAAGAACGATTTTCTAGCCGGTGGCTCGCGGGGATCTCCGACACTCGCAACGCTCTTACTCTTCCGTACATCGGCCGGCGATCGCAGCAGCGGTGAAGTTGCGTCAGGGTAGACGCCGGTCGAACCGGAATGGGATTTAAAGAGGTCAAAAAGACTGCTGCTTTTGGAGTTCGTAGCGGACGTGAGGCTCTTGGTCTTCGTCATTTTACGGTCTTTGTTTGACCCGGAGTCTCCATTGCTGTCCTCCGGCTTGGCGCATGGAGTGTCAGCTGTCGCTACGGATCGCAAATTAGTCATTTTCTTAAACGCCGTTGTAAGCGCGTCCATGTCAGCTGGGTTGTGAACAAATTCAGAACACTGATCTCGTACAATGTTGTGCCTGGACGCCGGTTAAGGTGTTCGACGCACTCGCCGCACTGAGTCCTGGAGTCTGAAAATCTAAACTCGCCAGCATGTGTGCTGGCAATGCACAAGTCCTGTACGCACTACAAAGTGCGTAGCCTGCTGCAAATCCAAAGCTCTTTCCCGTAGCTGGATTAACCGGTACGGTACCATGAACGGTGATACGGGAATCACAGTGTCTTGCATTCACTTTGACTGGGCCACACATACATGTAAAAGGTGCGTTTGATTGGTGCAGGCAGGTGTATAGTGTACGGCGGCACGGTACGGTACAGCACGATGTTGCGATCCGCAGGCGGCTAATCCAAAGTGTCTGGCGAAACCTTGCTCGTTATTCAGTGTGGAGAGTCGAGAATCGTACAACCGTGAGCCCAAAACCCTTCCGGCAAAGCTCCTTGGTGAGGGATATGATCCCAGACCAGATCACATCATTCTACAAATCAAAACAAAGCTAGGACATCTACATTTGATGCGTTTGTCTTGTTAGAATTGTTGAACACCACCACCGGATTACCAGGTCCTGAGAATTACCTAAAACAACAATCATGAGTTTTTTTGTTTTGTTATTTTTTCTCCTTTTGAATTTAAATAACCGACGAGGAGACAACAGTCGTAAAATAGCAATGAAAAATATCAATTGTGCACTCATAATCATGTATAAACAATTAAAATGAAACAATTCCAGAACGTTTTCGTGTGACCATCATCAGTGGAACATCGTCACATAGTAAGAATCACTAAAACAACCAGTTATATAGCTAGAGTAACATGAAAAGAAGCGTGAGAATGCAGCACAGCTAGCGGTTATGCATAACGCGTGTAGTGTGAACCTTTGCAGTGTATCTGAGAATGGTAGCAGTAGATGAATGTGGCAGCTGTGAGTGCGTGTGAACAAAAACTGGTGAGTGCGTATTATTTAAAAAGTGTGAGTGCTACAACATTTTCTTTTTGCTTGCATAGAACAGGGTCACGTGTGCGAATATATACAGCTTCCAACACCTGCAACTGCTTAAAGAAACGCGCGCGACAAATAACACTAAACCAGGAATCGTCAAACAACTTACGACAATCCGGACTGGACACCAAATGCTTGTAGATGGCAGACTTGCTCTTGTCGATGTCGAACTCCTCCTCGTCCGTATCACTCTCATCCTCCACTTCCCGTTCCTGCTCACCCTTACTTTCCTCCTGACCATCCTGTTCATCCCCATCATCATCCTCCATCTCCATCTCCTCATGCCATCGCTTCTTTCTCCTTGACGTGTTCACTGCTGCGCCCGTACTTTCACCTGCCACTACTGATTCCGCCTTCTCCATTTTTCTCAGTCGTGTCTCCGCTAGTCTCTGGCTTCTCCTCAGATTCGTTTTTCCTCCATTTTCATTTCGTTCTCCTGGTGATCTTTCCGTTACCGCCATCGGGTTTGTTAATGAACGGTCGTCCGGTGGTCTCCCATGCCGTGTTGTTGTCGTCAAGAGTGACACCAGATTCGTGTGTTGCGCTACTGTTGAGTCCGGTGTTGTATCCGTTTCTGGTTGTGTTGTAATACTGACAGGCGTAGTAGTAGGCAACGGGTGTTTTCTCGGCCTCCCACGCTTTGGCCTGCCTGCCCTGGCCGCTTTTGACAACTAGATGAGTTGAATGATGTCCACCCTGCATTACGCTTCACATGTGAACACGAGGATTGCAACAAATTGTCGTTTTTAGATGTACTCGTGGAAAAGACATGTGAGGGTGGTGTGACATCGGTGTATCGTAAGCCTACATTCACTGGTCAGTATATTATGTACGATTCATATTGCTCTTCGCAATACAAGACCAATCTAGTCCGAAACTTAGCTGACAGGGCAAGACGCATTTGCTCCGAGAGTAAACTGCAAGCAGAACTTGATTTCCTTCGCTCTGTCTTTCTTAAGAACGGATATCCAGGATCACTATTAGCGAAACTACTCACGAACAATGCGCCCCGTAAGGAACTGACAATCGGCCCGGCTCCTTGTCGTGTCTTCCTGTGCCTGCCTTGGAAAGGCGCGGAGTCGACAAAGGTCAGTCGTATTGTCAAGTCTATTGTCCAGAAGACGTACTATGCAGTGAATGTAGTAACTGTCTTCACCACGATACGTTCGTTCACGGTGTTGAAGGACGTCCTGCCGACCCATCATTTGAGTCACCTCATTTATCATTTTGAATGCCGACAGTGCGGTAGTCGGTATGTTGGCAGGACGCTTCAACACTTGTCCGAACGTATCAAACAACACGTCCCATTGTCCTTGTTGTCAAAAGCGGCCAGGGCAGGCAGGCCAAAGCGTGGGAGGCCGAGAAAACACCCGTTGCCTACTACTACGCCTGTCAGTATTACAACACAACCAGAAACGGATACAACACCGGACTCAACAGTAGCGCAACACACGAATCTGGTGTCACTCTTGACGACAACAACACGGCATGGGAGACCACCGGACGACCGTTCATTAACAAACCCGATGGCGGTAACGGAAAGATCACCAGGAGAACGAAATGAAAATGGAGGAAAAACGAATCTGAGGAGAAGCCAGAGACTAGCGGAGACACGACTGAGAAAAATGGAGAAGGCGGAACCAGTAGTGGCAGGTGAAAGTACGGGCGCAGCAGTGAACACGTCAAGGAGAAAGAAGCGATGGCATGAGGAGATGGAGATGGAGGATGATGATGGGGATGAACAGGATGGTCAGGAGGAAAGTAAGGGTGAGCAGGAACGGGAAGTGGAGGATGAGAGTGATACGGACGAGGGGGAGTTCGACATCGACAAGAGCAAGTCTGCCATCTACAAGCATTTGGTGTCCAGTCCGGATTGTCGTAAGTTGTTTGACGATTCCTGGTTTAGTGTTATTTGTCGCGCGCGTTTCTTTAAGCAGTTGCAGGTGTTGGAAGCTGTATATATTCGCACACGTGACCCTGTTCTATGCAAGCAAAAAGAAAATGTTGTAGCACTCACACTTTTTAAATAATACGCACTCACCAGTTTTTGTTCACACGCACTCACAGCTGCCACATTCATCTACTGCTACCATTCTCAGATACACTGCAAAGGTTCACACTACACGCGTTATGCATAACCGCTAGCTGTGCTGCATTCTCACGCTTCTTTTCATGTTACTCTAGCTATATAACTGGTTGTTTTAGTGATTCTTACTATGTGACGATGTTCCACTGATGATGGTCACACGAAAACGTTCTGGAATTGTTTCATTTTAATTGTTTATACATGATTATGAGTGCACAATTGATATTTTTCATTCCTTTTGAATTGAGTTTATTTTTAATAAAAAAATTGATTTGAAGTTTTTTTGGTTTGGGTTTGAAATTCTTTATTTTACACATGCATTTTCTGATTTCTTCTCCTGTGTATGATTTATTGCATTTTTAAATCATGGGGTTTAGATGTCATTTGACTGGATACTCTCTACTGGTCCCGAGTACCTACATACACAACTAAAACATAACAATAAAACATGTCACAATTCCGTAGACTCCACCGAAGAGCGTAGCACGAAAATTGCAATTCTGAGATAAACTCGTCCATTCGGTGGCAGTTCGGTCTTATGGTGATTGGTAATGTCTGCAACTCTTATACATGTACACATAGGTAATCACGTGTCGTTAGCACCATCTCGCAAAAAACAACACTTCGCATATAATTCTTTGAGTTCCCCGTCATCTTTATGGAACGAAACAAGACTTTTTACTTTATATATTTTTTATGAAAGTGCACATGCCTACATAGGATGGAAGAGAACATCAACAACAACATCAAGAGAACATAGGGGACTACAAAGGGCGTGTAGGTGCTATTGAGCTGTGCCGGTGAGGTGAAGTGCGCTACCCCGACCAATGGTCTCGGGATCAAGGCGCACATCACGCACCATGGGGAAAGGGAGAGAAGAAAGGCTGTGTGTGAATAGTGAGAACCTGAGACCCAGACAATGATGGTGAGAGAGAGAGAGTTGTCAGCAGTAATACTACTTGCTTTCGTGGAGTGTGGCTGGTAAGCTGTTCGTGCTGTGGTCTGCAAGCGTCGTGTGGTCTCGTCGGGTTAAATGAAAACCCTATTACTTCGCATATAGCAGCACAATTCCCGACCCTATCCGAATGTAACTTCATGTATTCGGACGAGAACTTGGCTACCACGAAATGACTATCGTTCAAAACAAAGTTCACAATGGCAGTAGACTTTGTTTTAGTATTGTCTCTGAATTTCATGACGAGAGGTAAGATTGTCGTTAAGAACATGGCTGATACCAAGAGTAGATCTACTCTTGCTGATACTGATTAGGGTACCCACAGTCCATTCAGGGAAACTGTCCAATTTGTTTGGCCATGCAGTTGGGAATGCTGTTCCAATACGTTTTTGGTGGCCGGTGTATACTTCTCGAAAAGGTGGAAGATATGACCGTACATGCTTCGGCCGCGTGTCAACATTGCAACACAGAAATTCCGGCCATAAATCCATTCCCCTCCATAGCCACTTCTAGGCTAAGCCTTCGCCGTCATTTTATTGGGTCGTCATCCCGTTTGAATGTGCGAAGTTAAATAAAAACCAACCAACCAACCAACCATTCCCTCAACACTAAGAATTGGGTTTTGGAGTCCAAATTGGCATATAGATCAGATTTGACACTATCCGGAAATCAATTTTGTGAATAAACTGTAAACTGTAGGAATGAATACATTGGATAGGAGTTCTTGAATCTGCAATGCCCATACGCGCACCGGGAGATGCGTGACACCCAGCGCTCGAAGTGCATTGGACCCCGCAGCACTAGTCAATGACTCAGCGTCAACTCGGCTTTGCTAATAATATTACATGATTTACTTTTGTGAAATATAGAAATTAAAGTGGAAGCAGAAAAGTGAGGGG